TAGTATAGAGAGATCAACGTCAAACAGTTAGTCAGTATTTTCGATGACTTACAAATGGCCGTAATTATGTTCGGAGAAATGGTAATCTATGAGGGCCCACCTGCGTCCGAGCGGTAAAATCGCTGAACACTGATAGTTCGGCGAATGGGCCGACAGCATGGGCATTGTCGTGGTTTTCCCCGCATGTAACGTGTATATGAACCAATTTCCCTTAGAAAATCCTCCACTAAGGTGTCCCTTCCCTTAGGCAGATAGCCCCCGAGGCTTTGCCATAATCACATAAACCAAACCAAACTAAACCATCTGTGACATTTACACAAAACTAACTATCTGTGTACCCTCCGTGGGATTTGAGCACAGGTCTATCGTTAACGATACGACTGCCAATGCCTTAACCTACCATGCTGAAGTGGAGTCGGAAATGGCGAATATGTTAATACCTAGATCGTTGCTTTTATTCTTTGCACTAAATATTTCCCTTCCAAATTACAAGTTTTTATAGAATTTTGCTTTCCTACTCTCCAACCACGCAAGGATTAGAGCTGTAACTTTTAGTTCAGCTTCAGCAAAAAATGCACAGTTCTAGTTTATAACGATCGGGAAATGTCCAATATTATCCTATGACTCTTTTATGTATGCCTGATGAAGACATATAAAAAAAGACGCTGGCGAATAATCACCTCTGGCATAAACCAGAATCGATTTTATTTCTGAAGGTTCTAAAACGCAACTTCATTCTTCAGGTGACAGGTGACGGGGGGCACGGGCACTGTCCCTTTAGCATTATGGTTAATCGGTTTTGCACCGTGCCGTCCACTATCTAGAGCCATAAAGATGAGATCCCGCATCAGGAACCGAAGCCCAGCGCCCGGACCATCCAGAGGGCAGTCCAACAGACCAAACGCGCCCTCCAGAGACAATAAAACCAACCGTCCGGGCGTTTATTAAAGAAAACACAAAAATACATTGCCATACAAGGGCTAATTACTGCCAGCAAATTTTACAATAAGCATGACATAATAACAAAACGCATAGAGCAAGATACTTAAACACTAAAACTAACTAAATGAACTAAATCACAATAATGTAGAGCATAAACATTGAGAAAACTTAGTGAAAAATAAAAGAAATAGAAAAGGATACTGCCACAATATAGAACAGATGTATAGAGAATCCGCTACATAGATGTAATAATAACTGGTACTACATGTAGGTATATTATTTAAGTTAAAATGGTTATCCATATTGCAGTAGAATAGTTAAAGAGATAAGACATGTTTATTTGCCAACACATTGAAGACCAAGAACACTTAACTACACTAATAAAATAATGGTCTTAGTATTACTAAGTGAAGAGCGTAGTAGTTCAAATAAATCATATCAAAATCAAAATAGAGAACTTATAATATATATTAATTCCAGTAAGAACATAAGTTAACCGTCAGATGTAAGATATAGATAACAATCAGTACCTGCATGACAGATTGTAATTAATAATTAGATAATAAATACCAAATATTAGGAAAATTAATATAATATTGGCACCAATTGTAACCACTGGCAATAAGAACTGCAAGTAATAGACATAATTAAATATTATGAAGAACTGTCAACTTAAATAAAGCTGCCCAAGAATAACTGTTCATCAAAGGCATTGGTTTGACTTTATATTACATTATCAGTGTGTTTCTACTCAAAACAAAATAGCTCTTCATAATATATAAAAATAAAATATACAGTGGATAGACAAAAATATGGAAACACCTTGTGAAATGCATGTTTGAAAAGAAAGATTGATTTTAATGAAATATGTATTTGGCACTGGCGTTTTTGACTACTGTCGGAGTACTGTTATGTGAGGTTGTCATTGCATTATGTCAGAGTTAACAGACCTCAAACGTGGGCAAATTGTTGGAGCACGTATGGTAGGTGCTTCCGTAAGCAAGGTAGCCGAGGTGTTTAGTGTTTCAAGAGGTACTGTATCGAAGATTTATTCCGCATATTTGAAAAGCGGAAAAACATCATCTGCTAAATCGCAGCGCGGACGAAAGTGTGTCCTGAGTGATCGTGACAGACGATCATTAAGGGCAATCATGACGAAAAATAAGAAGACCACAATTGCAAAAGTTACTGCTGAAATGAATGTTGTGTTACCGAACCCTGTGAGTACCAAAACAATTAAAAGGGAGCTTCATAAACAGGGAATTGCTGGCCGTGCTGCAATTGAGAAGCCACTCATCAGTGATGCTAATGCCCGTAACAGGAAAAGGTGGTGTTTAAGTCATAAAGCCTGGACTATAGAGCAGTGGAAGCGAGTAATATGGTCTGACGAGTCTTCTTTCACATTGTTTCCCACTTCTGGCCGAGTTTACGTCTGGAGAACACGGCATCTCAAGCCTATAATACAGACTGCTTGTTGCCAAGAGTGAAACATGGCGGGGGTTCTGTTATGGTTTGGGCAGCCATGTAGTGTTTCTCTGCTAGCCCCATGATAACTGTGTCAGGGCACATGACTGCCAAGACTTATGTGAACATTTTGGCCGATCAAGTTCATCCCATGGTACAAACTTTGTTCCCCGATGGTGATGGTGTCTTCCAAGACGACAAAGCTCCTGTTCACACAGCTCACATTGTCCAGGACTGGTTTTCTGAGCACGAGGATGAGTTGTCTCATCTCCCCTGGCCACCGCAGTCACCAGACCTGAATATCATCGAACCTTTGTGGTCTACATTGGAACGGAAAGTGCGTTCTCGTTATCCACCGCCAACATCGTTATCTGAACTTGCCACCGTTTTGCAGGAAGAATGGTATAATATTCCCTTGGCAAACATACAGGAACTGTATTTATCCATTCCGAGAAGACTGCAAGCTGTTTTGGATGCCAACGGGTTTCCTACACCATATTAAGCAAAGAAACATGTTTTTTTAAAGGTGTTTCCATATTTTTGTCCAACCCCTGTATCTAGCAAAATATGAGTATACGATGCATATAGTAACAGTAATCAGGTATACCAATATAAAAGATAGAAATGTGAAATTCATGATTTTTGATAAAAAGATAATATATCATATATTAATTAATACAGTTCAATGATAAAAAAACAACTTAGATGATAGTATTAATAATATCGTATGATCATCATGAAATGTTCACATATAAACCTCAAATCTAATGGAAAAGGTCACTAAAAAAATAGATATTCCAAAACAATTTGTAATTTAGTAGACAATGAGTAAGAAATATTACAATTAGAAAGACTTCACAAAAAATTTTCTGGAAAAATTGAGCAGAAATACCTCATTACGAAGAAAAAAGTAGGTTAAACCGCCTGTACAGTCGGCTTTGCGCAACAGAGCTCAACATGTGGCAAAATCGTTTTACAGGCAATGTAAAAAACGTCATGTGAAGAAGAGTTACAGCAATAGGATAACGGTAAAAAAAATGAATTTAAAATAGTGACATACAGAAAAGAACCAGAAAAATAATAATTTGTTAATTATTAAAAACTAATTAGAATTTGAGGAAATTTGAATATGCATACAGGAACATATAGGGCCATAGAACAATATGATATAATTAAAATAATAATTACTTGTTGAGTACGACGTGTTTAAGATGAGAAAATTTGTCTCGGTTTTCCACTGTAATTATAAGGTAATGTCTCCCTCCTTTCTTCATACCTTCGTAGTGTAACAATAGCACACTCGGCGCATATTCGAGAGGTCCAGGTTGCAGTTCCGGCGAGGGCACTGTACATTTTTCACGTATTCCCGCTTCAAAATAGCCTAATGACTCTACAGTGGCGCCCGAACTAAAAGGTGGTAGATGATGACTCTTCACTACCGGGATTTGACGGTCTCCTAATCCCCAGTAGCTCTTTAAAAGGAGGGAGTATATAAGGTATTTTCTCCCTCCTTTCTGCATGCCTTCATGGTGTACCGGTAGCACTCTCGGCGCGTATTCGAGAGGTCCGTATTCGAGTCCCTGCGTGTGTATTGCACATTTTTCATGTCTTCTTGCTCCAGAATAACCTAATCACTCTACCTAATATAAAAAAATCAACTTTGTTTGAAAATAAGTTTTTCAAAATTAACCCTTTTTTTTAATTAATATTGTTGTAAATTTCTATTAAATATTTAAATCATTTTGATACATTGCTGTTTTTGTGTTGTGCTGTGCTGTTGTGTATTACATTATTTATTTAATTTTTCATTTAGAGTGATAAGTTTTAAAATGTATTTTTGTGTCATTAACTTTGTGGTCATATACTTTGTGTATAAGGTCTGTTATCTTGTACCTAACTGTAAATTCTTGATTCTAAATTCAACAACGTTTAAACTGTAGAAATAGCTCAACGAGACGCTTTCGAAATGTAGGCAGAAATGCTTTTAATCAGCCTTAACAACAAAAATGTCGTAAATTTGACATAATTTAATGATTTTTCGCCAATGTGGTGACTTTTTTCCAAGTATCTTAAAATGCATTAGCTGCGATTTTTCCCTAAACGTACAGAAACTCATTAAACGGCAGTGCGATTCCGAGAGCCAAGTATAATGAATTGCTAGTCAGTTTTCAACAAGACTGCTGTTCACAGAGACCCATAGAATCCTATCACATTTTCAAAGAGGCATGTAACCCTATCATAAAGTCAACTTAATTGACAGATTATAGTTAATGTTCTGTGGCAGACTTAATGTAAAGTAAAATAATAAAGCGTTGAAAAACCCTAACGACTGTAACAGTAACATTTTGCCTTCTGCTTTAGGAAATGTACTTCCCTGTTAGCCATATTCCTACTAATAATTATATATAGTGGTAGTACATTATGTTAATACCTACATCGAATTTTCTGGCTTCTGATTTAATTCGTCATTTAGAAAGCGGGAACCGTAACGAAACGAACATTACAAATATATTCAAAACAGAGGAATTTATTTATCCTTCCCCCCCTCCACACACACAGTCTGAAGAGTTTTAATTTTTTGCTTTTCCATTTAGGTGACTCTTGAAGGTGAAGCTCGGTACCGTAACGCTAGCGGCCACGTGGTGTTGGACACTTTCCAAGAGTTCAATGAGGTGCAAAAGGAGAATAAGGCCTTCAAGAGCACCGTCCGACCCAACACGAGATATGCGGTTAGGGTATGTACAGTCAACAAAGCGGGATGTGGACCTTCCAGTCGCCCCACAGACAAATCCAAGTGCATGTCACCCCCATCGGGTAATATAGAGAACTTTTAGTGGTTTTTTTATTATTTTCACAAATCATTCATCATACATCTGTCATCATAAACCGACATTTTGTACTGTGCTCCTTTAATATCATATATTTGAAATGTGTTTGTTTATTAGCCTTGAATCTACAGTAAGCGCTTACCTTTCAGCATGACTCTTTTGATAGCATTAACAAAATGGCAACATTTAGGGTTAAAAAAAGTATTAAGTTAAGAAAAGTATTAAAAAAAGTATTATTTAAGTAGTATATCAGTAGAGTTTAACTTATATAAACATTTGGTTTTGTCTTTTTAGCTTTATTATTAAGCGGTGATATTCTTCTCAGTTACGCCATATGCAATTAAACATCAAAATTACAAAAATTTTAAAAGCAGTATACGTTTCGAATCACAAACGGTTAAGAGGTGGCATACATTTTGCTGTTTTGGTCAGTCTTCTCTTAGTTCATCATATCAATGTTCAGTTTTCTTACTAAGATGGCTTTACAAAACTTTGTTCTTTCATTAGTAATATTTTATGTGTTTATTTATTAAATATTAAATATCGTGTGCTTGGCTTTTACGCCACATAAAATTCGATTCAACAACAAAATCACATATATTGACAGAAACAAAATTCCCAAAACAAAGAAAAAATTGTTAGAGTAATGAAATTTTGACAATACATTTGTCTAGGTAACGTATTTAATTGATTAAATTTTGAAGATTACCATTTAATACAAGGGCGAGTACAGCAATTTGAAATGCTGGTACATTAATAGTTGGTGTAACCGCCAGAATTTTGAATGCAAGCATTTAAATGTGCATGTATTTGTGTCGTTCAGATCCCGGATGTCATTTTGTGGGATGGAGTTCCATGCTGTTGCACTTGGTCAATGCAGGGACGTTTAATCTGGTTGTGGATGACGCTGGAGTTGTCGTCCCATGCGTGATCGATTGGAGAAATATCTGGTGATTTAGCACGCCAAGGCAACATCTTCACACTCTGTAGAGCATGTTGGTTTACAACAGCGGTGTAAGGGTGAGAGTTATCCTTGTTGGAAAACACCTCCTTGAATGCTATTCATGAATAACAGCAGAGCAGGTTGAATCACCAGTCATACGCCGAACACGACAGTTTTCCCTATCAGTAGTGCCTTGTTGGCTGCCCGGAACTAAGCCAGTATCTTCCCTAAACCACTGTAGACAACAATAATGCACAGTGGATGTGATGCAGCGAGAACTGAATCGTCATCGAACTTAGAACTGGCGCGAAGCGATTGTGTATGTGGACAGAATGTAAGTGCCGGTCGTTAGAGTTGTACGTGTATATAGTAAGCTCTTATGTACAGTGTGTGTGTCTTGTATATAATAAAGTATCATATGGATTAATAGTGTCGTGAGTAAAAAATACCTACTGAAGACGTAACAAAGGGTGGAGATGAGTATTGAAAAAAATGAAGTGCTTTCGCAACGTGCTTTACACAGCCTTGCAATGCTAATGCTGGAGAAGCTGCGGCGGACCCCTACAGAGATGCGAAAATCATGTGTACGGTCTCCGCAAGTTATTGTTTCAAAGCTTTTACGATGTGTCACACAACATGTTTACGATTTTTTGCGTCGGGACAATACGTCAGACTACTCCTGAGCTCTCGACAAGAGAGACTTAGACTGCACTTGAACTCTCGACTAGAGAGACCTAAAATGTTCTTGAGCTATCGACTAGAGAGACCCTCGTTGGCAGGCTCGTTGGCAGTTCCTTTCATTAACTGTCTATGCTATTCAGAGCCGTGCCTACATATTTTTTCACCTGAAGCAAAGCGGTAAATGTGCGCCCCTGTATACAATGAAGATTATTTATTTACCTGTTTGTGGGGGGAGGGAATAAATAAATACATAATACTAAATGATTTTTGAAATATTCAATATTGATTGTTTAAAAGTTTTGGCTTTTACATGTATTAAATTCTTTGTTTCATTTATTAAATTGTTTGAAATTTATTAATTCTGAATTTAAAAAAGTTTCCTCGTTGTGAAACATTAGTTCTAAATTTTTTACTTTATGTGTTTAATATATATGTGCATTAATGCATATATATACATATAATCATGCATGTAGAACAAATTAACTATATTTACATATATTTTATGCTCATTAAAAGTAACTATTTCTAGTGAAAATACAATAACTCTTACAGTAATATTTAATTATAACTTTGTATGGTCCACAAAGTGAAACATATATAATAATTAACAATTATGGGTACTTACGGAAAATCCCTTCGACCACAAGAGACGGCGCCAATCGCGCCAAATAAAAAAATAAATAAAATAAAAAAAAAAAAAAAAAGTTTACTAAAGACAAGAAAAAACGTTCTTTTCTTATTATTCTTTCAACTTTATTATATTATCATTGAATTATATTTAATTTTTCATTAAAAAATATCCATTATTTTTTATTAAGGAGATATACTGTAAAAGCAATTATTTTTGCTAGGTTTTAATATAATCGCCAGTAAGATTCCGTGAGTTTGGGAATGTTCAACAGCATGTTCTTCTGTAGTAGGCAGGTAACAAATTTTAATCATTTTTTTTTTCGAAAATGAGTGATACAGGGAAAGTCTTTACTCAAGAATAATAACTAACACGTGTAATCAAAGTTACACCAAACCCAGTGTGCCTGAAGAAGATTTTCCATTTTCGGCCAAAAATCACGTAGTTTGGCGTCTTCTCTTTAGCAAGCATAATTTAATTTTTCTTGCTTTTAAGGATGCAAAATCATCAATAATATTTTTAAATCTATTTGATTACTTAACTCAAGTTCTATAATGAGAATGGCCATGTTTGAAAGTTTTTCTTGGCCTAGTGAATGTCTCATGTAGTTCTTAATTATTTTAAGTTTGCTAAAGCTACTTTCGCAACCAGCTACAGTTACTGGCAACGTTAAAAAAATTCTTTGCGCTGCTTCCGAATTCGGATGGGACTGAACTAAATTATAATCGTAAATTATTTTTAAAAGTTCTAAGCTTGTAGCTGCTTTTGTGTTCGGAATTATTTAAATAGCATGGTTTTTATAAAACTAGATACTTCTGGCTGAATTTCTTCAGCATTCATATGATTCGGATATTTAAGTGCTAAGCTGCTGCCTTTAAATTACTTAAATCTAATGAGATTAATTGTTCACCAGTTAGAAACTGAAAATCGGAAGAGATTTCATTTAAGTTTCCGTATCGCCATTTCAGTTGTGAAATTAAAACGTCGAAAACATCAATTTTCTTTTTCTGAAAAACTATAATTTATATCAAATGATTCCTGACAATTTCATTTATTAACTTTTCGTTTTCGTTTCTCTTCAAATTCTGATTCCTTAAATAAAATTAAAGGTGCTTGGTAGCATCATCCTTACTTTGCAAATGTTTAATCTATAATATATTAGCAATACTAACGGACTTGTTGATGACAGTAAGCGATGTAGTATTTTCCATGTTTTCAATAATTCCAAAGTGTAAAAAATTCAAAAATTCAATAAATCGAAAATGTAGAGAGTAACTCTATACCAGGAGTTCTTAACACTATTTTTGCCGCATGCAGCCCTTTCCCAGACGCTAAAAGATCATTTCCCTCTTTTCCCCAAAGCTCGAAAGTATAAACGTTTATCTAGATTTCGAGATTTTTAATATGTTTTATAAAATTAAACAAGAGAAAGTGTAGAAAATGTCTATAAATGCCAGAACTTAAATTAGTTTTTTATATTCATAAGGTAAAACTAAATACTGAACAGATAAATAAAAGGCTTACCTTTTTCCCGCCCCTCTGAAACTATGAAATTCTTTTGTAGAGGGAAGTTCCGCCCTGATTGAGAAACCCCGCTTCATGCAGTATTTGTTTTAACTGTGTATTTACACTGAAGGCATACAAAAACTGAAAACGAAATTCACGATCTCTTCTTTTTATGTCTTCCTACAGAAATTCTTGACAAACTGATTTTAAGTGTCACGACTCTATGCAGAATCTGCAGCGTTAAATACTCATTATTATACCTTATCCAGAATTGGAAATTCGACAAGGGAACAGCCTGCATTAAATTTTCAATCTTTTTAATACATCATGTATGATTGCATACAAATACAATTCGAATGAGACTTAAAATATATGTCTTTCCTTGAAAAAAAATCTTTGTTTTGGTATTTAAAAACACGCTAAAAGAAACACAGAAACAGTTTCGCAAATGTTGACTTCAAACGTTTAATATTATTTTCAATGGCAAAAGCAAATATTTATTTCATATGCTGAGGCTCTGATGTTTGATATTTGTCTTTGATTGCTTAGACTGAATACTTTGAGAAATATTTTGAATGCGTTTTCTTCTCTACTTTATCTTCACAGTTCCTTCTTCGATGCCAGAATTTGAACTGAACACAATAGAAGGTCACGAGAAATGTCATCAGCTGAAGTTGAAACTTCAGAAAGTTTCGGAAAGGAATGGTTTCATTAGGTAAGCAAAATAGAACACCCATTAAGAGGAAATGTTCAGTAATAAACCACATATCTCGTAATATTGTTTGATATAGTTACTATAACATTACGTTTCATAGTTCTGTAATCATACCTAAATAATTAACATTATAGTTGTTAAGATACAATAAGACGCCGAACAAATATTAATTTAGAAGTCGAACAACAAAAATCAGCGTTATACACTCACTTCCAAAAGTTAAGAACGGAGAGGAAAATGCTAATTTTCGGAAGCCAATCAAAATTGAAGAGGATGCAATTCGCTGCAGAGGTAGATGGAAATATGCAAACATGTTAGATAGCAGCCAATCGCGCTTTCATGTCAAGAAATATGCAAAAAAGGCAGTCTTATAAGAAACCAGCTTTATGAAGGGTTACAAAAGTTGATTGTAAGTGCTGATAGAAGGTGTTTAAAACTCGTACCATTTGCTTTCAAGACATACGTGTTTCTATGGCTTCCAGAAGACGAATGGAAGATTCTGAGCGCTGGCGTGCTGTGGGGCGCATTGAAGCCGGACAGTCGATCACAGATGATGCTCTTTGCTTCGGCGTTCATCATTCTGCAATTTCACGTTCATGGAAACAATTCCAAGCCACACAGACAATTGTCTGAAGACCCGTAGCCGGTCGCTAAGGGTTACAACCCCATCGGAAGATCGATATATTGCTATTGTAGCCAAGCGGAATCGCAGAGCGACCTCCACACGTGTGACATCTATGGTTACAGCATCCATTGGTAAGGCGATATCTGCTGCTACTGTGCTCCGAAGATTACATATGAGTGGACTGTACGCCCGGGTACCTCGAGTTTATGTTTCTCTATCCGTCCAATCAAGAGCAGCACGATTACAGTGGTGCCGGGAACATGTCAATTGGAATGTGTCTGACTGAGGCAATGGCATGTTTACTGATGAGTAAAGATTTTCTTTGAAGCCAAATGACAAGTGTATAAGAATGTGTGAACAACGAACACGTAATCAGCCCCAAAACATCACCGAACATCACGCATTCCGAGGCGGAAGCATTATGGTGTGGGCAGGGATTTCATTAGGATACCGCACCGACCTGCACATCTTTAAACGGGGTTTTTTGACGGCTGTCTGGTATTGAGATGAAGTTTTAGAACCCATTGTGAGATTGTACGCTGCAGCAGTTGGCCCTACTTTGGTTTTAATGTACGATAACGCCCGTTCCCATAGAGCTGACATAGTCGATGATTACCTGGAGAGTGAAGGGATTGCGCGTATGGCATGGCCAGCATATTCGCTCGACCTTAATCCCTTTGAAAATCTTTGGGATGCTCGGCCGTGCTGTATGTTCACGTTTCCCACCTCTAGCCATTCTTATTGAGCTGGAAACTGCTCTACAAGAAGAATGGTGATTGCTTAATTCTGCGGTGGTTGACCACCTAATTCAAAGCCTGGTCACAAGGTGTAAACTTTGCATACAGATGAGGGGGGGGGATCACATACCCTATTAATGTCCTTTTTTTATTTTCATTTTATACATAATTCTGTTTAAGTCTCCAGTATGTCATTATCTGATAACTTACAAAAATGTAATATTGTTTTCATTTCTGTATACAATTATTGATTTTGTTTTATGCATAAATATATGTGCTACTTTCCTGCCGAATTTTATGTCAATCAAAGCAGTATTTGTCGATTTTTTTTTTTTTTTTTTTTTTTTTTCATTTTACATCTTTGTGCTTAACTTTTGGAAGTGAGTGTATTTTCAAATTTCCACAGAACTAGTTTCGATGGTTCCTGTGAAAATTTGAAAATATAACGCTGATTTTGTTGTTTGACTTCTATAGTTTTTATCATTAGTTATGCAATGTTAAAGAAATTCAAGGTAAATATTTTTATTCTATTTCAGATTTAAACCTTCAATATTAATAACAATAGTGTCATCTATATATCCATAGGTAAACCGAAATTTTTCTACTACGCTATAGATCTGCAGTGTGTAGTGTGTGTATTCTTCATGAAGGCACATTCACACACACATTCTTCACATTCAAATTAGAAAGAGATTCCATATGACTATTGAAAACGTCGTACACTGCGCACACACACGCACAAAAAAAAGGTGATAGATAGTTTGATAGCGAGTCCGTTCCAGTGGCGTAGGGGGAGGTCAAGGGGGTGTATGATGCCCCGGACGCTGCTCGCAGAGGGGCGCCAAATGATCTCCAAGCAAGATTTTACGGAAAGTTTCAGTTTTTATTTTGATCGATTTCTGGAAAATATATTTAAAATTAATAATTATTGTAATATAATTAATTATTTATTTTTCATTATTGATTTATCATTTAAAATGTGTAATAAAATGTTTGCAGTATGTCAACCAAATATCTCCGCATACAATACGTTCTTTCTTACCAGTTTATTTTTCTAAAATAGAGATATATTTTTATTTTTTTGAAACGAAATGCACGTATAGGTCCCGCTTTTTATTTTAAAACAATAACACGGCCTTCTCCCGAATTTTTCAAACATATCCAGTTTCCAAAAACCGATTTCATAGTCTGGAAATGACATTGTGGGAAACTCCTAACGCTTCCGCTACAATGATGGCCTATGCCCTTCCTCGCTACCGATTCAACTCAGTCATCTTGCTGAGACATCGTACATTCACTGCTACAAAGCATTCAACGCATGTCAATTGTTTTTAATCTCCTACTACAAAAGGAATGCTTCAGGTCGCTCCTTTATTCCTTATCTAAAATTCATAGTTTTTAACGCATAGTCCTTATCTAAAACGCGTAGTCACAGACTAAATTTGTATATTCTCAACTGTGTAAACGTTATAATTTTCCTTTATAATCGCTTGTATTTCCTTTTGTTAAAAAAGGTTGTCGATTATATGGTTATTTCATACCGAACTCACAATATCCCCTAATTGTTTTGAGCAGTGTATGTGACTGTAAGATGTTATTCCGTAGTAGAAAAGAAACTGACCTAAAAAGTCCATACTGATCTAACCTTTATAATAACGTATGGAGAAAATACTAATTCAGAAGCCAAACAACAAAAATCAGCGTTAGATTTACAAAATTTTCACAGGACTAGTTTCGATGGTTTTACCGAATCACCATCTTCAGCAGCAAAACCGCAAAATGAATGCAATATTTTGCGGTTTTGCAGCTGAAGATGGTGGTTCGGTAAAACCATCGAAACTAGTAATGTGAAAATTTTGTAAATCTAATGCTGATTTTTGTTGTTTGACTTCTGAATTAGTATTTATTCGGCGTGTTATTGTGTCTTAAGTATGGAGAAAATGTTTTTCCAAACCTAAGAATCGCACTTCAAATATTCCTTACTATTTCATTATCAAATGCTAGGTATGAACGTTCGTTCAGCAAATTAAAAATAAACTTTGATGTATTTACAATCAACTATGGGACCTAAGTCATCAATTATTTTTAAATGTGGAAAAAGAAAAATTTGAAATTATCGACTTTGATGAAGTAATTGATATATTTGCTTCATACAAGGCAAGAAAAATGTATACGTAGTAATTAATTATATTAATGCATTATAATATCATATTATTATTAATAAATATATCTACTTATATATATTAAGCTTTTAGTTATTTAAAAATTTTACTTTTTTAAAAACAATTATAGAAATTTGTAAAATAAATAAATAAATGCCTTTTTAACTAATTCTAGATCATCGAATGTCTGATTTTTTCGCCGACACAGATACATTTCCGAATCGAATGTTAGTGTAGTTAGGTAGTAACTGTTCTTAATATATTTTAGAGTATTTTATGGCAGATTCAGCATTTTATTTTTAATTGCATTATTTTCTTATGATGAATATATTCTATACATTATATTATTGTAAGTGTTTTTTTCGGGGAGGGCTCCAAAAAAGTATTTTGCGCCGGGCGCCAGTTATGCTCGCTACACCACTGGTCCGTTCTACTTGACCGATTGACGAAATTTAATTTTCATTTTTCATATGTCAAAAGCGCGACTTAATTTCGCCAAGTGAATTGGCTCCAAGTGAAAAATATACACCAAGATATTTTAATTTCTCGGTAAGTTTCTAACCAAATGTTATAAAATTTTATATTTTAGAGATATTTGAGTCGTAGAATCAAAATATTAAAAACCAAATTCGGTGTATCATTTCAGAAAAAGTTCGATTTTGTGTCAGAATACCTATGTTAGAACAATGCTATATAAAAATCTTATATCCCTAATAAGGTTTATAATGCTATCTAAAATCTTTATAATTAATATTATATCCTTATATAGTAGTGCTTGGCCCACCAGCGGCCGAGTGGCAAAGTCGCTGAACACTGTCAGTTCGGTCCGGGGTTTGAATCCCACTAACGGGCTGGCTGCATAGCGTTTTCGTGGTTTCCTCCGTGAATAACGGGGGTTGACTCAGGCGAACGCCTGGGAAGCACTGGTTAGAATCTGTACCTAGGCAGTCTCAACCACGGGGGTATATAATTTGGCTTCACAGGACTAGAACCCGAGTATTGTACTTAGGTTGGTTCAGGCTTGGCAAGGACCGTACTGGTACTGTCGTGTCTGTTCCTCTGGCTGTGGTGGAGCTACATCGTTCGTAGATCACGACCTTCTCGATGGGGGTTTGGCCCTCAGAATCCCAGTGACGGGGACTGACGGAGTAAGGCAAGGCACCGAGACGATTCTATTCGATGCTGAGGGAGTGGTGTCCCGAAGCAAAGATGATTAAGCGATTATTTTTGTATTTAGTTTCAACGTTTTCGTCCTTGCTAAGGTTACGTATAAAGCCGGGCAGTGACTGCGGGGGGTCTGCTCTGCCGTTGAGGGGGGTTTCCGAAGTTTGGATACATTAACTCTGTATGGCAGACCCATGGTCATCCTTTAGTTCGGGGCTCCTTGCTTTGGTGTTCTGTGTAACGTGTATATGGAGAACCAGTTCCCTTAGAAAGTCCTCCACGAAAGCATTCCTTTCCTTAGGCAGATAGCCCTAGAGACTTTGCCATAATTACATAAATCAAGCCTAAGTCGTGTTTTTGAGGCATGAGAAAAGCTGATTAAATTTTATCTATCGACAAAGTAGAACGGGAGATGTAGAACTATCTTTTTTGTTGTTGTTGTTTTGTGCAGAGTGTACGTGTTTTAAATACAGGAATCATATTTATTTAAAATGGTTACGTTTAAAATGCAGAACTTCAAAGCTTAATGAAAATTGCCGTTATATTATTGTGTTACCGAACAGCTAAAGAAAAATATTGCTATCTATGCTCCAAAGGTCAAAGCAATGTGACGGGGAGAAAGTTCCAGTAATAGTCGGAAAACCCGATGACTCATTTAACTATATGTTTATTGACTGAGATTCATAGTGCCTAAGCTAAGCTCTGTGTTCGAGTATGATACAAACTACGTCAACTAGGTAAATTAATTTGGCATTAATTACAAGTTAGCCATATCATTTGTATATAGAGTCTACATCATTTTTTAAAACGGATGCGAATACATAATTCTGTCTTATCTCAAAGAAAGCATTCAAATATTGTTACTATGCACTCTTTAAGGCATTGCATATCCTTTACAGTTACCCTTTTTCATAACTCAAATTGGGGGCAAAATTCCTAACTCAAAAAATTCAAAATTATCTAACTCAAAAACTCTAACAGGCCAGAATTTCTTTTAATAAATTAAAAATTAATAAATGTTTAATGAAATATACTTTAGATAAAATGTTTTATTAACAAAATAAAAATATCTTAAATGAATTTTAAATTTCGCTTGCTAAATGTTTATCAAAACTTACATCGCAAAAGCAAAAAATACATATTTCAAATTGATACATATCCTGTATCTGAAATCTAAAGTTTGGTACTTGCAAGACATTTTTATTGGTTGCGCTTCGTAAGACAAATATACTGACAGCTAAATATTATGTTTTTCAACTGCCATTTATTTCGCATAATTCTGATATTAACATTTAATTAACAATTAAATGATTTTGTTTAAATTCAACTCAGAACCAACAAAGTATGAAAACTGAAAGAATTTGAAAGCACAGTTACATAGTCTATTACGTTACATAGGGCAGGGGCCTCCAAATTAGATTGCAAGCGGGCCGAATAAACACTCTGAAAACCGTTCAGAATATTTTTAACAAAACAAAAATTTTGACTAACAATAAAAAATTATTTTAATTCCGCCCAACCGAGATAGTAGTTAGTAGCGCTAACTGCCATACCGAAGGGCCCGGTTTCGAATCCCGGAGAAGACACGGATGCCTGTAAATGAATAGTGTCTGTACGGCATGGAGGCACTCTAAATATGCGGCGAACCGAAAGTACTCTCGAGAGTTTGGATGCCAGGGAAGACAGGGTGGGAGACACTTGGACACGTCCTTCAAAATTGGGGTCGATACCGAACAAAGTCCTATTGTTATCTATATGGTGTTCAAGGCTCTTGCCAACGATAGGCGCAATTTTGACCCCCTGCCACGATGAATTTCGTGGGCTGGTTCTGATATCAGAGACCTGATCTGATGTTACTGTCATTCGGGTTAAATTACATGCAGGCCGAATGCACGATCTAAAAACAACTGACCAGACAGAATTTTTTTAGCAAAATGAAAAATTTTACTAACAATAAAAAGCCGCCCAGACGGTATAGTGATTAGGAGAGTAATCCGCTGAATTGGCTTCCGACCCAGGTATAGATATATCTATGCAGAATTGGTTACGAACTCAGCGGGAGTGAACCACTAGCTGCCAGGCCGCAGCCCTGGGCAGCCCCGGCTGAGCAGACGACACTTATAAAATGCAAAACAGAAATATGCATGTGCAATACAAGGCACTTGAAGAAGAGTACAATCAAAATATATGTGTATACATAAAAATACCAACTCATACAGATATATACACACATACATATATATTCCGAAACAAATAAAAAGTATTCATACTCTCACTCATATTCATATATACATCTATACATATAAGTTATCATGATAGTAAAGCTTACATGAAGCATGCCATTGAGGTACGCTACGATCCTTAGTATAAATTAAGTACCATAAATAAAAGATATAAACATGTACAGATACAGTACAACTTTGTGTATGGAAACCTGGCACAGCATAAATACAAAATTACATATTGAACATACATATCACATACTCTGTTGTTGACATATTGAACTAGCTTATATAGTTCTAACGTGCATACTGCTATGCTTTGCAGAGCAAGTGATCTGTTTTCAGGTTAATAAATGTGCCAGTTCAAGAAGAGTTAATTCCATACTGAAGGTGCGATATCTATTTCTAAGAGAACTGCGCTTAGAAATGGCATTGTTAGAACGTAATGTGTGTTACATACTACTCAAGTTTATACTTAATGACTACTATCTTCCAGCGTCGGAAGAGTAATTGCTAGTAACAATAGTCAATTATTGTTTTCAGTTTCCGCTGGGCAACTCTGTTACTTTGTAGATTCTGGAACCAATTTGGCCAGAATCTGGCTCCTGGTTGCTTGAGGCTGTTAAGTGCTGTGTGTGGGCAGGAGAACACAAAATGGTCTGGATGACCCTCCTCCCCACATTCGCAGTTATCATTCTCTCTCTCAAGCCAAAGCGGCAGAGGTATGAAGGGAAGGGCCCATGACCAGTGAGGAAATACGTCATGTAATTGCTATTAGTTTGGATTGTTGAGTGGTTAGGAGCCTGACTGCGATACCGAAGGGCTCACGTTCGAATACCGGAGAAGGCATGGATGTAAAATTTTCTGTCCCTTCACAGGAGATGACGGTGGCCGCCTATTAGGTGCCGCCACAATAAAACAGTCACCACTTCTGGCCTTAGGAGTGGACAATGCCATTGTAGGCAAGTGCCCACTACTGGGAAAAAAATAGCAAAGAAAAATATTTTAATTATAAATTGTAAGCTTTATTTACTAAATATTTATCGAAACATTAATAATAATATCCTAAAGGAAGAAAAGAACAAAGCTATATATATTTGGCGTCTGATGTCTACAGTTTGGTACTTAAAAGTAATTTTAGTTCGTTACATCTGGTAATTCAAATATGCAGCTAAATGTTAAATTATCAAAGTGACGTTTATTTAAAATATGTGTCACATGTTCAATTAATGATTAAAATAAGTTAATTTAATTTAAACTAAAAATTAACAAATTTGAATTTTCAAAGAAAATTTTCCAACCGGAAGAAAACTTAAGAATCAATACTTACAACCTACTCTCTTTCTCATATTTATTAAATTTTTCTTCTACACATAAATGAAAATACCATACCTTTGTATATTTATAATTATTACCTTTTTCTGCTTCTTACTTAAATATGAATGTCCAATTATTACTCTCATCAATCTCAGTATTACAGTGTATGCGTTAAAAATATTTTGTAAATTATTGCAAAAATTTCTATCATATTTTTATTATTAATGATGCAGATGTTACCGAGTGATAGTCATCAGACTGGCAAAGGGTGACTCCATTTCTGTTTTGCCTCGGAATCCAGACAATATGAATCTCACGTCCTACGAAGATGTTCACCAAGAGGGTGGACACAGAGGAGCTTACCTCGCAGAGGCTTTCGACAGGTAAATATTTAAGCAATGAGTTTTTTTAACAATAGAAAACCCTCTTTTGTGCTCATAAATTGCTTTAACAACGTAGTTTAAGTATGCTGATTTGAGTTTAAGTATGCCTTTTCGATGTGAAAGTGTCAGTCGTAATTATTTTATTTGTGCAGGTTAAGGGGTTTAAAAATGACATTGTTTTCTAACAAATTTCAAATGTTGAAAAAATTGATTTTTTGAACTGATTTCTGGATACAATTTATATAAATTTCATAATTTCAACTTACATTCAATTAAAATTCATTAAACTCATTCGCTTAAATTGCTTTACATTTTGTTTGCAAATTCTCAAGTTAATTTTTGGATGTGTTTTTTTGTTAACTTATTACGTGCTTCGCCCTTAAGCACTACACGGAAAGGGAGGGATGCCCCGTAGAGGTCATTTTAAGGAAATTGGCCCGTTACCGCATGGGGAAAACGCCACTGCAGCCAGCCCGTTCACCGGGACTCGAACTCCTGACTGAACTAACAGTATTCAGCGGCTTTTACCGTTCGGCCGCTGGTGGACCTATTAAATGTGTTTGAAGGTTAAAGAACTAGTTGAATGATTTTGAGGATAATAAGCACTTCTAATTCTTCTGTAGCATGATATAAATGATCCATTTTCTTTCCATATCAGAGTGAAAGTTTAATACAAATTATTCCTTGTATGAATAAGTCTGCTACGAGGTTTATTGGAATTTCTGTATATTGATTGGCATGTACAACAATATCTGGTATAAAATTTAATTTAATCAAAATGTCAATGAGGCATTGTTTTACCTGGTTTAGATTTAAAAAAATCCCTTCTTTTAATATAGCACCAGATAGCAGAAGACCAAATAATATAGAAAGTAGAAGACTACCATTGCATTCACAAAAGGTAATTAAACTAAATAAAGTTTTCTTCATTGGCAAACATTCCTTCGGAATGCTTTGTAAAATCCTTTAATGGCTTATTTTAATCTTCGATATTGCCGAGATGGTAGTCGTGCCAATCTCTGCTTTATGAAATGTCAATACACTGCAGAGCTAAACCTGTGAAATAGACTTAGATTATATAAAAATCGTATTAAATAAAAAATGATTTCGTTGCAGCTTATTTTATAAGAGAGAATACTTACGAAAAATTTCTGAAGGAAAGATTCATTTTTACTTCCTTAAAACTGTCGTGATTGCGAAGTAAATAAAGTATTGTAATCACAAAAGATTTCGGTTAACGGTTTTCAATGGAAATATCCATTTCGACCGTTCTCGAATTCATTTGGACTATTTCTTTGCCTGACATTTGTATGTACGTGCAGAAAAGGACTCATTATGCAAAAATGGGTTGTAAAATATATTCAAAATAGGCATTTTTCGTGACGCCTGTACTTACGTATGTACCTCGCGTAACTCAAAAATTATCAGCCCTGGAACTTTGAAATTTTCCTATAACATCTTGTTATGCATCTCTCTTTTTGGTTGCAAACGGCAGTTCCAAAAGTATGTTATGTGCATATACCCAGCCTCCTTACCTTATTTAAAAATCCCCAACCGGCCTTTATTTTCGCAAACGTTGATAACCGTAGTTATATAAGTTATATACTTTCAGTTATGGAAGTGTTTTAAGTGATGAAACAATTCATGTTTTGCTAATTTCAAACTTTAAAAAACTTAATTGTGGACAAATAACGATATATAACTGTTAATGCATTCTCCCGGTCCCTAGACTTGCGTTTCGGAAAGTTTTATGCTCGTTATGAAAAACTAAAAATACAAGAATTTTGATTCCCGTACGACAAAAACTTACCGGAATATTTAATTTCAAAATTTTTAACTTTTGATGTTATTTTGAACTTGCCTGGAGGGCTTGGTTAATTCAGTTAGAATAATTGGAGAAAATAAATGTAAATGAAGTGCAGCAAAAAAATGGGTATAATTTAATAGGCTGTACAAGGAAGTCATGTTGTGTTAACATAAGATTTTTTTTACAATAATCGATAAGAAACTTTACCAATACCTTGACCAACTCACTAATGCTAGTAAGAATGTTAGAAGTTGCTTTCGAGCAGAGTGTTATCAGAGTGCTCTCGAGCTGTGTTTTCGTAAAGTTTAGGGTTTTAACTGTGTAATATTAGCTGCAGTGTCCCTCCGCCCTTAGTAGACTGACAAGCGAGTTATATTTCATTCTAATGAAAATAGTACAGTAAAGTCCTAAATAAAACTTTTTATTAAACTTGAATTTAAATAGAAGGTACGCTTTTATACGTAGAAATAAAACCTCGCCAGTTGCAGGTAGTAAGCATTAAGTTGCATTTTAACATAAAATCGAATTGCAGTTTAAAAGTATCGCAGCCACATATTACAGAAATCAAGCTGACTCACTTTTAATAGCATGATTTAACGTCAGCTAGCAAATGGCTATTGCCGGAATGGTAAATATCAGAGCTGGATGGAAAGTAAAGCTACGAATGTCGTCGCCAAAAGCTGTATATCTAAAACAGTCAAAATTTTTCTTTCTCAAACACTCTGCAATATCAAATGCATCTTGGTGGGGCTAACGGAAAAGAGAAGTCATAGTAAAGATCCAAATCAAGCAAATTGATTAAATAACATGAAATACCTTTTTTATTGACTCTGAAGGGCATCTGCCTCTGATGCTACTTCAGTACCGCTTGGGGCTGGTAGATGGCAGTAGCTACTGTTATTCTTAATCTTCCTTACTTATATCCAAATCAGGTCCTGGAATTTTACTGTGGCCAAGGAGCAATGACTTGCGCCTGACTTAGGCCTTTGGCTTAGGTGTTCGTCACCTTATAAGTGAGAGTAAGAATTGCCCCAGCTACGTATGAATTTTGATAGAAAATTTTCAAGGAACGTATCCGAAGAGTCTTTTATTCCGTCTTTCTGTAACACCAATCTCTCAAGAGAATTTTTCGGCTTGACAGCATTTTAAGTGCCCCCATGCCGCAAAGGTATTATATACTTACAAACATCCATACATTCTCCTAGTTTCGAAACCGGGCCCGAGGCTATATCACCTGGCACACCTCACCATCTTTCGGCCAGCCACCTTTCAGTGTGGCTGGCAGTATTTTATAGCCATAAATAACTCAGTAAAACTTAGTGGTCTGCGAATGTTTTCGAAATTGATAATTCGGACAGACGGAATGAAAATCTCTAGCTTACATGATGAATAATGTAAGTATGGAAAATAAATTCAATCTGTTCTACAGCTAGTTGTACTTTTTTTTCGACCGCGAGCTTATGTCTAGTCAATAAATAAATATTTGGATAGCATAAGTATCAAATTCTTATAAAATTTTAAAGCAAAAAAAAATGTTTTATTTATTTTTTATTTCTTGAAAGGGTGGTTGTCGGGAAAGAGGGGTATTTCCTCATGTTACAATTAATAAAAGCTGTGAATCTTTATTGTAATACATGAGCAATCACTTTCACTTTATATAGTGGCAACGAATCTGTTAAGTTTGATGTAGGGAAATTGCTTTCCTATAAAATTCTTCACGCAGATTAATATATTATTGTAGGCGATATTAATGTAGAAGAATTATCTACTGAGGAATGATATTTCACTCATAAAACTTAAAATGTTTCAAAAGTTGTTTTTGTCTCCTTCAGTAAAAAATAATTAAAATTTCAAGATCTTGTCCCAGAATCTAGAACAGAAAAAGGAACTTACTTCTATTCCCGTATTCCTGTTACATATAAAATAGTTGAACATTAGTGTTAGATGTAAATACTCGAAGATTAATAATATAGTCTTTCCAAAGGATCAAATCTATGCTTTTAAAATCTGTGCGATTCTGTCTGCTTGTTTATTTGTTTGTTTGTGACATTATCTCCTCCGGAACGGTGGCGAGTTCAGTTTCGAAAGAGGTAGACTGCGAAAAAAAAAGGCAGTTCTATATCTCCCGTTCTACAAGGCCGATTGACAAAATTCAAATTGCGTTTTTTATGTCTCGAAAGCGCGACTTAGGATATATATTAGATTTATATACAGCATTGATCTTTCCGAAATAACATATCAATTAATTTTTTTCCTATTTCAATTCTACGACCCAATTTATGCCTAGATATTAAATTTTGTAAAATTTGGTGCAAAATTTATGGAGAAACTCAAAAATTTATCTTGGCAAATTTGTTTCAGTTAGCGCCAAGAATAATCCGCTTGGCGAACTTCTTAGAATATGTGACAACCAATTTTCATTTCCCTTCCATTATACCGGAGCGTATAAAAAGGCACCTCGTTCCTATCTTTTTGCATTGTACTTGACAGGAAAAAAAGTTACTTCGTTTCTACTTCCAAATACTAATTTTACAAAAGTGTTTAAACCACATTTGATGTTTTATCGCTTTCAATAAATATGCCAAATTTCAAAACCTGCCAATATATATATAAATTCACGTATATCTTCTTTGCAGGTATGCTTAGAAATACGTCTACTTTAAGATGATGGTAAAAATGATATAGATTATAACTCAAAAATGTTTTTGAAAAATTAAAAAATTCTTTAAAATAGAAATTTTAAAATAAATCATAAAACAAGGACGAATTTTATTTGAAATGAATCTAAATTTCGAAATGCGAAAAGGAGAATCAAATAAATTTAATAAAAAAAGAGAGATTAATAAATATATACGAAACTCAACTAACATTGAGTAGCTAAAATTTTGAGAGCTCATTTTTTAAAAACTACTCGTGCGATTTTTACAAAACTTTGTCGTTTGGCGTAATTTGAATCGTATAATTGAAATATGAAAAAAAAGGGCATGTCATTTCAGAAAAAGTCCGATTTTTTGTCAAAATATCTATATTAGAACGATGCTATATATAAGTCTAATACATATCCTAAGTCGCACTATCGAGACATGAAAAACGCAATTTCAATTTCATCAATGCACGTCAATTTCGTCAATGTACGCCAATGTCGTATTTTGCACAGTGTACGTACCCCCGGATACCAAATATTTCTGGGGAG